ACTGGTTCCGGTTTTTATCCTGTCTGTTCTCAGATGGACCGCCCAGCTTTGGACTTTGCCTGTTTTGGATTCCCCAATCGGATTACTTTTGGATTGTTTGCCCCGGATTCACCCCCCTGGTCACCTGCGCACTTTGGACACACCCCCAATATTCATTCATGACTCCTGCATGCCTTTTTGCCCCGTGTTTTCGCACTCCACCCCAGATTGTGTCGTCTGCATAGGGCCCTGAAAGAACTCATTCGTTACACTAGGTGAAACATTTTCTAGGTGTCCAAGGAAAGAACGATGCAGAGTAAAGCAGTGCCCTTGGCCACATGTACAGTATAATGTAGAGGAGAGTGCAGACATAGGTGCAAAACACATTTTAATATTATGATGAACTAATAAGGTCACATAGACCAACCTGGCATGATAGAACCGTAGCACACAGCTTGTCACAAAGCATGGGGCGTGAGTCTTTATTCAGTAAAAGAAGATGACGACAGTATTAACTTTTAATGCAATACAATGAAATGCAAGTCAGGCAGAATGCAATCAATGGAGTGTGATTTATCCATTTTCCATCCAGGAAAGAGAGGTTGTCTGATAATCTGATTATGATATTTTTAACAAATGTGCACACATCTTGTTGTTTCAAATGAGACTCTTGGCAACGTTTGTTTTCCCTTTTTCAGAAATTGTAACCAACTACTGTAGGTGACTTAATAATGCAGACATTCCAGGACAGATCATAGCAGTTGCAGTTAATCAGAAACAAAATCTAGTTAATGTGAAAAGTGAATAAAGTATACATAACTTCTAGGTGAGAAGATAGAGCATAACAGTGATAGAAATGAAATTCTCAATTTTGCTTTTTAATAAGAATATTAAAAAACGTACATTTACTATTATTTTACAACAAAGTGCAGAAATTACAAATTTCAAAAGCACATCAACAAAACTGGAGATGAGCAAAAGAAGAACATTTTCTTTTAAACTTTCTGTCACAGGGTTCTGAATAGTCTCAGGGTCTGAGGCTGCTAAAGAATAACTGTCTAGAAGAAGGCTTGAAGGGTCAGGTTATTGTATCAATTCTGAGTCTTGAATTAAATAACAGCAAAATGAATGACAACATTTTCCATGACATTTCAAGTGATTGCCGACCTCTATGATTGTTTTCTTTTGGGACCAAGAAAATACAGCTCTAGCAGCTGTGGTTTCAGTATTCGACACAAAAATGCTTCCTTCAAATTGCAGTTTTGCTGTAAATTCTGTCTTGATAACATCACATCTACAGTAGATGCTTAAGGCACTCTTAAAGCACATTTGGTCATCTTTATCTGTATTCTCTGTATAAAATACCTGATGATCCATAATGACCTAATTTTCTATTACCATGATTCCCCTTCTTTCATAAAAAAATCGTTCATTTTTCTACTGTACCACAATTACACTGCTAATCTCTTCATTAGTCTTTGGCTCAATTTACAATGAATTTATGAAAAAATAAACTGGTAACATTAGCTGACTGCATAAACATCCTCAGGCAGTTGTTTCAAAATATTGATGAATATTGTACGGCTAAAGTCTTCCACTTCCCATTTGAACTAATCATAAATGTGAGAAGCACATGCATTCTTTTAACTACAGGGCACACACATTTTGTGCATGCTAAATATTTTTTTTCTTCTTTTATAAGGGGAGAGAGGCACCAGAACCCCTCTATACTCTGGGTCAACAAATGAGGTAAGGTGGTCCACTCTGTATAATTGGGACCAAATACAAACTGAATGAAGTCCACTTCCACAAGGTAATATACTGTACCATGCTCAGACCACCCATCTACTTTATCCCATCAGGTTACTGACACTCTCAATGCTTTTTATACAGTATATTGCACCTCATGAAGAATTCTTCTATGGAACCCCAAGTGCAAGTGTTGTGATTTCATATTGTTTGAGATGGTTTGTGCACTGTTTCGGTTCCACGAATAAAGAAAACAAATACGTTTGCCCTCCTGCTTTTCCCAGGCATTTTACTGGGGCTAAATAATATACTGTACAGTATCTATTAAATCATGTACAGTATGTGTGTAGATGACTGAGTGAAACGATTTGATTTTCTGCTGCTATGGTCACAGTTCATTTCTCTGGTCTGAAGGTCTCAGACCTTCCTTACAAGGGTCTTGTGTCATAAGGGAATTAGATTAAAAAAATCTTCAGAAAAATTGTTACTTAATGAACATGCCACTATGCCCATATAACTTGTTTGGTTTTATTAACTAATTAATCTGAGAAGTCTATCGAGTCATTTCTTGATAGCACCTTGTTCTTTACTCCCACAGCTCTGTGTTTAACTGTTGTTTCTTGTTCTCAGTTTTAAAACTAATTCCTGTATTTTTACAGCAAATTCTCTGCAGGACATGCTTCCTATTACTTTAGTTTTCCTGTAATATCTTCCTTGTCTGATTCACACAAAACAGCGCTTCCTTGTGTAAATTGTCCAGAAGATCCCCAGAAAAGGCAAGAAACATCAAGAAAAAACAATACTTTCCACTATAACATTAAAATGGTAATGTGTAACAAAATAATTATGACAAATATTTGGACTATAGATTTACCACAATCCTTGTAATTCGCAAACACATTTTTTTCCTTATATGTTTAGTTTTATATTTTAATTTTGAAGTATTCATCCCACTTATTATGTACAACAGTCATGTAATTATTCTGATTAAATTCTGTAAAATTCAAACAGTATTTGGGGTTCTACAAGGTATACCAATTATCTCCAGGAATATGAGGAAATCATTAATCACACAGTGTTAATTGTGATTAAAATGACAACTAAAATTGGCAGTCTGCTCTATCAATATTATGCATCAATAAATGTCATTAATAAAATATTAGAATAACATAATTCATATCACAGATAATGTTTGTACACACTCCTTTTAATTTTAAAATTTTAAAATTAAATTTACAATTTAAATTGAGAGACAATGACATTTTAAAAGCTAAGTGTAACCTTTTTATTATTAAATGAATTCAATTTAAGAGAAACTGAAGAAGGAACAGTGTGTTGCCTTTTTCCTTTTTAAATGACTAAGAGGTAACAAGCTTGGCAAATACCACTTGTACTCCATAAATGTATTAAATAGCACTTATCAGCCCAAATTGACCTTTTATGCTATTAATTTTCAGAATATCCTAATTAATTAAAAATCTGCATCCCTGGCCATCTGTTGTATGAAATGACTACACCCAGTAGTCATTAAATATAAAATGTATTTGTATTTAATAAGTGACTAATTATGCTTTCACTGTCTTGCACAATTGACTATAGTCATCTTGTTTGCCTTTAACCACATTGAAACCTTTCAGCAGCAAATACGGATATAATGTTGGTCAGAAATGACCTGTCTATATTTTGGAGACCTTTTCACTTTGGCTAAAGAACTTTTAATTTAACAGAAACAAATTTGAGAACAAATTTGTTTGGTTACAGAACAACTTCCTGGGGAATCAGGATTATCCTTTTCAACACATTATTGAAAATGGTTTATTCTGTATTTTTTATTTTACTTGATAAAAGCAGTTCTAGATTGTAGTGAATTTTCTGAAACACCATGCTATTTTACATTCATCCAAATATATATATATAATGGAAACATTTGAAATAATAAAATGAAAGGAAAAAAGAACAGTTGAAAGTCTTAGGACTAATAATGCTGACATGCAAAAGAAATACAACAGTGAGTTCAAATGGATTTAACCCAACATGTATATAACATAAATATCACACAAAGCCAAAGAAAACATTAACAAAAATAGAGAACAAAGAATTATTATATGAAATGTGGCGCAGTATTAAAACTAAAGCTGTACAAAGATGGGTGGGATCTGCCTGAGAATTATCTGATTGTTGATATTCAAAGCTAGCCAGTTGAAGTTATCTACTGTTGATAGCATTGATGAGCTGTTCCCACAGATTCTGTTGGGCTCAGGTTAGGACAAACATCTGCGATGGCAACATCTTGACATGGTTTCCCAGAAGCTGTGCCATTGTAATTCTAAAACTGTGGTTTGTCATTGTGCCGCTGTTCCAATGTTTCAAACATTGTTCCACTTTTTCTTGTAGAAATAGAAAACAAATATTGGTTTTGGGCTTTGTCCATGTGAAAGGATGCTGTCAGCCAATACAAGAGGCTTTCTTGTGTTAGAGGAGATTTCTCTTCTCTTTCATCTGCCAAGTGAAAAATAGTACTGGAAACAGCCACCCTACAGCCCTGCATGTCCTCCATGTGCGCAGGTCCTTTGCATGTAGATACAGCAGCTTGCTACAGTAAATATACAATTTTTCAGTATCCTGAAAAAGGAATTTAAGGAACAAAGCTACTTAATGAACTGAAATTAACATAACATTATGTACATGTACAGTACACATCTAAAGCTCTATTAATGCAAATGTGGACTGCTCTTTTTTTTTGCTGTTCATTGGTTAATAAACAAGTGGCAACAGAAAATTTGGCTAAGTAAGTTGGGGTTACCAACTGCTCCTGTGCTGTATGTGTGTGAATGACATAAGTCCACATAAGAGGCAACAGATCTGATCCGTTTCAGAATTTAATTTTAAATTAAGGAATTATTCATGAGGGAGCAGGCCACATTGGAGATCACCCTATTCAATAGATGTTTATGGACATTTATTACAGCAACTATCAACTCCATGTAACTGAACACTATTGTGTTGAACTCCCCAATTCCATGTTCATGTCCTGTTTACATAACCAGCACCTCAAATTTTATCCGAGCCATTACTAAAACACAGTATTTAATCAAGTGTTTTCATGAGTTCCAGATCCCGTGGGAATGCAATTCATTCCAAAAATTAAAATGCAAAGCTCACAACAAGAGTGGGCCATAAATTCAACAGGAACACCTCTGCATTGTAAGCTAGGCTATAGTGAAAAAAGAACAACCGAGTTCTCATATCAGTTTGAGAAAATAGCATAATTCAAGGTTCCCTTTTATTAGAAAATTGTGTGATATAACTGTATAACGAGCTGTGGCAATGACATTACACATTGACGTCAAAACATGTAAGCCTTTTATAGAAGTATAAATTATATACCAGGCTACCACCGGGTTCCCACCTGGCTAAAATCAGTAAAGTCACATACTTGGAACAGAAGTTGATCCCTAAATTTCAGACACTGCTGATTAGAGACTGGGCTGGGGCACTAGCCATCTGTGACAGGCATATCCCAGCAGCAGGGCACAGCTGGCCGAGTACTGCCAAGACTGGGTGAGTTTGATAGTCTTAGCTTGTTGTACAGGAATAAGTCCTGTAATCTGTCAGGCAACTGTGAGCCACATCAGTCCTCTAATCCTATCGTTCCCCAACCTGTTTCTTGAAACAGCAAATGGACACATTTACTGTATATCTTTTCAATAGTTTTCAACAGTTTCAAACAGAGTGTAACATGACTGTGAGCCACATCAGTCCTCTAATCCTATGGTCCCCATCCTGTTTCTTGAAACAGCAAACGGACATATTTACTGTATATCTTTTCAATAGTATCAAGCAGAGTGTAATATGACATGGGTGATAGCTCAGATAGGATCAAAACCAGAAGACACATGGTTCCTTCAAGATGAGGCCTAGGAACCAGTGCCATGCTCAAAGCTAGATCCTAATGAGGGTCTTGAAGTGTGAAAAACAGCAGGCAACAGTAACACAGTGGGATTCAAGAGAAAACATGCAAGGTGCTTGTCCAGGAAACGCTGGTATGAGGGTCAGCAATTCAGATATAAATGCCTCAGTTTAACAATCTTGCAGTGTTAAATGAGTGTTTACTGTTTTTACTCAGATTTGACTCTTTAACATCTGAAGAACTCAAGAAATAATCCCTAGATAGGGATTCTCTCTTCCACCTCAGAGGTGAATTTCACATTGCACAAATGCCAGGAATCAATCTGAATTTTTAGACTCAGCAAATTAATGCTTACTGTATGTCAGTTCAGAAGTTTTTTTCTGTTGAAAGTTTTTCTCTGTAGGTGTAACACCAATATAATTCTGTGGTTAGAAGTCACAACAGTGGTATCAGCCTAGCAGGAGATAAGAAAGGCAGACCATCTGAGACCAGTTCAAGTGGCAGTGTCTTTCCTCTTTCTGTCCCTCCACTGCAGAGATAAAAAGCAGGAATTCCAGCCTCCAAAGCAGCTTTGCCTTTTCTCATTTGGAGATGCTTACCTCATTGATGATGATCCAGTGGCAATCAAAGGCAACAAGGTTGGTTTCAACAACCTGTAGAGGAAAAAGAATAAAATAATCATAACTTCACCTGAGTGATATTTGTGAACATGTACTGTACATGTAGCACATTCTGAAATATCTTTTAATGAAATCTGGGAGTTGAAAATCTTTATTGAGAGTAATATGTTCTTATGGAAATCTTGGCACTTTTTGACAGTATATTACCAAATGTCAACTCCACACAAATCAATTTTAGTTACATTGTAGTAATTTAATAATGCATAACTAATACTGTATATAATATTGTATATAGTAAAGCCAGCAGCCATATCACCCTGCAACTCACAACTGGCAACCCACTGAAACTAATGCAGGTGTGAGCCTGGTCAGTACCTGAATGGGAGACCTCCTGGGAAAAACTAAGGTTGCTGCTGGAAGAGGTGTTAGTGGGGCCAGCAGGGGGCGCTCACCCTGCGGTCCATGTGGGTCCTAATGCCCCAGTATAGTGACAGGGACACTATACCATAAACAGGCGCCCTCTTTCAAATGAGACAGAAAACCGAGGTCCTGACTCTCTGTGGTCATTAAAAATCCCAGGATGTTTCTCGAAAAGAGTAGGGGTGTAACCCCGGCCTCCTGGCCAAATTTCCCATTGGATCTTACCAATCATGGACTCCTAATAATCCTCCTCTATAAATTGGCTTCATTACTCTGCTCTCCTCCCCACTAATAGCTGATGTGTGGTGAGCGTTCTGGCGCACTACGGCTGCCATCGCATCATCCAGGTGGGGCTGCACATTGGTGGTGGTGGAGGGGAGTCCCCATTACCTGTAAAGCACTTTGAGTGGAGTGTCCAGAAAAGTGCTATATAAGTGTAAGCAGTTATTATAATTATTATACTGTATAGCCCTTTTAAATTATTTTTGTCTGGCTGATACAGGCAGGCAATTTGCCATCTTCTGAAAGAATTTTGTAAAAAAAAGTCTTTAAAGCTGTGAGTGGAATATCTTCTGGCATCAACCAGTTATCTGCGGAGCCAGAAAGTTTTGTGCACAGTAGCCAAGTAAAGAACAAGCCGCTCAGTGGAGAAAATCTACCACAGTGATGTGTTGTCGGCAGTTCAGTGCCATGAAATCAGCCATCATGCCACTAACACTATCAATCGGTAGACCAGATGGTCAAGACACATTTTATTTTTAGAATAGAAATAAACTTTCCAGAATTTGAACAGTGATGGGTTTTTTATTTTGACATTTTGGAAGAGCTATTTCATGCTGCAGAAAAAAAGAATATGTCGCTGAGTTTTCTGCAGTAGCTATAACACAATCAATCTACTTAGAGTGAAGGAAAGCCTTGAAAATGTTGGCTTTTGGCAAAAGGAATCAAAAGAATAAAGCTCTATTGTAGCTACTGAACACCCCCATGTGATTCAGCAAACATGCTTTATCTCACACCTGACAAGACAGGTCTGTGGAGATGCCAAGTGCACACCAAACATTTGAGGAGTTTCCATATTTGTACATAACCAAAGTTAAAATGAACAACCACAGTTTTAATTGGTTAGGTTCTTTTGATATGTAAATAACACGTCTCAACTGAATGCAAAGGGTATTGTTGCCATGGAAATGAAATATGACACTGATACTGTCAGTAAAACTGGGATAGAAGCAACTTATAAGTGAGAGAACACACAAGCACAGACTATAGTTTACAGTTTACAGTTTACAGTTTACCATTGTGTTTCTCCCAGAAGACAGAAAGTATCTTTCCTTTCTTGTATGGAGTCATGACACTGACTGATACAGTTTTGATACAATTTAAATTCTCAAGTTGTAATTAGGGTTCATGCTTAGGTTTGATTAGGACCATAATTCTGGCAAATCTCAAAAACTGTTTCTCAAACAATGTAACATTGTCAAAGTTTAACACCATTATTTTTTTATACATTTCAGAATCCACATTTCTGTGGTTTTTAAGTTCTGGCCCTGCAGTGCCTCAATGTCTGCTGTTTTCTGTTCCAACTGGGCCCTTAATCACAAAAGCAAATTTCTGCCAGTGTCATATTTGGCACATTCGCACGGGGATTCAACCTTACCAGCTCATTACGCCTCTCAATTAGGAAAATTATTTATCAACCACACAATCAATCCACCAGTCAATCACCTGTTAAGTGGACTATTTAAGCCAGGACTCTCCACTAGACCAGTGCTCTGACACTAGAGCTTACTGTGTTTAGGCTACTGCTTACACACCTCTTAATAATGATGCCTTTTTTCTCTAAAACTTCTAACACTGATCCAACAGAGACTCGCCTTCCCCTGGAGGTCCAGAATTCCAGTCCTCTGCTGGCCCTGCTGCAGAATCTCCTATTCCGCTGTCTATTTATTACCGGTGAACCTCTACTCAGAAACCATACTGTCTTCTTTCCAGACAGCTCCTCTCTCACTGGCCTCTCTGCCTTCTCCTCCACAGACAGTTCACATTCTGCAAACTGCAGCCCTCATCTGCCAAAGATCCCCAAAGTCTTGGCTTGGGTCTCGAACTGTCATCTTGCTGCAGCACTGCTTAACAGTGGCTGAAGAATAACAGCCAGTTATTGATCTACTGTACTTACTTGTCTTCTTTCTGAACTCAGACTTTGGTTTCAATAATACCCCAGTATTGTGGTTCTCAGTCCTGGTCTGCCGTAAGTACTGTAATCCCTGTGTCTTCTGACTTCGACTATAGCCCAGTTCTTAATCCCAGGTTAATTCCTTTATCAAGTTTATGTTTTAGACCTTTTTTAATATGTTTTCATATATTAAAAAACTGAATAAGATATGTAATTGGTTTGAACCCTGTGTTAACGAGTTTCATCACTGCCCTTATTCAGGTGTGTGAGCTGAAATATAACCAAAAACTCACTATTGCAGTTGTCTAGTAGTGTGTTATTCCCACCATCTGTTCATTACTAGTTAAAAGCCTGTTTATTCAATATAAGGGAACAAAGTAACAAACCGAAACTGCTGAAAGTTTTATTTGCTGAATTTGTTGCAAATAATGTACTTCATAGTATTTTTGTTACCAAGGATTGAGTGCAGAAAAAGTCTAAACTAGCACTGGTGATTAAGGGTGAAACAAAAACCAGCAGAGGAGGATTCCGAACCAGAATTTAAAAACTACTGTAAACTCTTATGTGGTGAAACTTTGGGCTTCTAGTTCTTCTAGAACACATTGAACCTGTGCAGAACCTGCATGCATATTTAAGTGCTTATATACACAATATCTGTGGCTCAAATATTTTTGCATTTTAAAGCTTTTTTTCTACACATTCACCGAAAATGTTTCTGCGCAATTTTAATTCCTAATATAGTGGATCTTTCTTTTATGTTTTGAAAAGCAGATCACAAATTTAGAACCAATTTTGCTGAAAATCATTTTGTTGACATACTAAAGCACAGCATGAAAAATGTGTTAGAAATGAAAATATGCTAAAAGAAAATCTTATTAAACAGAATTAATATATAAGAAATATAACAACCTACTGTATAAGCAGGTCATTGGTTGCATACTAACACCAGTATATTGTAACGCAACGGGGGCTCAGGCCAAAGTAATCTTTGTTACTGGACTTAGGACTATCTTAGGACTATCTTAAGGTACTCCTCTAAATAAAGACGAGAGCTGCATATTATTCAGGTAACATCTGGAAAGACGTTGCAGCTTCAAATTAATCATTAACTTTCCGCAATGGCTCTCTTCCAATTACCCATCATTAGATGCAGTGACTCGCTGAGGCACAACATGAGTTTGATTAAGTACTTTGAAATCCTACTGTTATGCATGCAGCTGTCCTGACCTCCAAGACAGCAAGGATCAGTGTGGGCTTTGGTATGTGAAGAGTAACTATCATGCCTTCTGTCTCTTACAGTAATATCAGCCAAATATGAACATCAAATGCAGGATCATTCATTAGGTCAAAAATTAAAATTAAATTGGTTGCTTTGTGTGTTCTTCCCTGTCATTGTCTAACTTACTGTACATTCCTTAGGGTCCAGCCTCCACATCCACTGTGAAGTTAAGAATTGGGTTCTATGATCTAAAAGATTCTAACACCTCTCCTTCACTGCATTTCTTAAGGTGCTGGCCAGTGCTACAGGGTAAAAACCCTCGTAATCTGTAGTTGAAAGGAATAGAGGATGCATGGCGAGCTAATCTTCCAAAGGGCTCTGTTAAAACATTATTATTATTATTATTATTATTATTATTATTATTAATAATATTAAACAATAATTTCCTTCATATTTTCCTTTCATTATTTAAAACCTTATTTAATTTTCTTTAAGAAGAAATGTCATAGTTGACTCATTAACAGATTCAGTCACTGTCAGATTATTTCCAGAGTAAATGAAGAAGTGTCCTTATTAATTCTTTATCCCCTATACTGGGTACATGAAAAACAGCATTTCTCAGTTTTAGAGTAGTAGCAGTGTTCCAGACACAATCACAGCAGATGTCAAACCACAAGGATATACCTTAGCAAGATTTATAATTTATAGCAGACATTCTAGATTCACACTTTATTAGACCACAACATTAAAGAAAAGACTTTCAGGACATCAAAATGGTTGACTGATGGGGAATGCCAGGTTTGAATTCATTGGATGTAATTTAAACTGATGTGATGAGCAAAACCCATGTGAAAAATGAACTGATTTTCTCCTGAGTATAATCCATCGTTTATGTTCTTAGCCTCACTTGGCAAGCATGTGGTCTTTTAATACATCATAAATGTTATATTGCATTTTTCCTTAATGTCACAAACCCCACTCCAATTGGTATCACAAGTGAACACCCATGTAGAATTCATTTATTCCGTGTGACTGGCAGGAACAAATGTTCTCTCCATTTCAATGAATATATTATGCAGCATATTAGCAAACGTTTTATTCCAGTAAGTCGTTTCTGAAATGTTTTAAAGTTTCAGTAGCAAAGTGCTAATCAAACATGAGCATCTAAAAGCTTTCTCTGACTACTTATGAACATTTTTAAAAACCTTCCCAACCATTGCC